TCATCCTTGCTGATCACCTGGAAGGTACCAGGTGGTATCTTTGCCCCATCCTTCCCATCGGTGTTCACAGGCGTGGCTCGAGGCAGCAAGTGGTCCAGCAGCCTCCCTGGGAGGTCTTGATCACCTGCCCACAGGGGTCCACCCTCAGAGTATCTCATTCAGCAGGTCTGGGATGGCCCTGAGAATTTGCATTTCTGCTGAGTTCCAGATGCTGCAGCTACTGCTGTGGTCCAGAGGTCACACTTTGAAGACCCCGCCCTACAGGATGACAAATGATCCTCCAGCCCCTTAGCTCCCTGATGTCACACACCTCAGGGCTGCTGTTTGGAAAGCAGCTGATTGAAAAGCAGTGCTTGCCAGGCAGCTTGTATTGGAAAGGACTGACTTGGCCTGTCCACACCCGCCTAATCCCTGTGGCCTAAATTCCCAGGGTGACATCGTATGGCCCTTCTGCTTTGGGTCAGTGTGGGCCACCCTGGAGAGGCTGCTCCTTTTTCAGAGGGCCACTTTCTCACCCCCCCGCAGGGGCCCCCACAGTGCATTCCTGATGGTATTTTAATTTGAAGGCAGTCCATTCCCAATCTCCATGACACTACCCAGCTGTCTTCGTGGGACTCAGTAAATAGCAAACCTTGTCTTTTTTAGAGCAGTCTCCATCTTTTCAACCAACTTGCAAAGCAGTTTGCAGTCTGCTGCTGTCAAAATGTCTGATTCCAGATTCCCCTGACAGGGAGCCATGGAAAGTACCTTGGTGCTCGCACCTCTGGGGTTCTGGTGGTGAAGTGCTTGGCACCAGGCCACCTGGCTAGGAAGACTATCTCTGGCTGAGGTTCAGCCTCCTGATTCCAAAGGCCCCTGTCCTTGCACCTGCTGGACTCAGCAGCAGTGGGCCTATGGCGTCCACTCACAGACCACTTCAGGTTACAGGGAGTCTCGGCATATTCTCACAGAGGTCACGCCCTCCCTGGGTCTGAGGTGACCTCTTCGTGAGCACTTGCACAGCCTAAGAGAAGCATGATCAATATTTTTTTACTCCAGATGCAAGAAGCCACCTTACTCCCTGGAGCAACCCAGGGCGGTAGAACCCTCACTGTAGAGGTGGTACTGAAGAAACCTGCAGGTGTTTAAAGGTGCCTGGTGTGAATTTCTCAGCCCCAGCTTAAAAAAAAAATGCTGCTTAGGGGGAAAATGATATAAAGGCACATTTAAAAAAATCAAAACTTGGTAGGAAGCTTGCATCTGAGTTCTACAGAAGGAAGTACAGATAAAGACCTACTATGGCTGCTTGAAGCTGACCCTGCATGTTCGATTCCTGTCACTGCTGTCACAAAGGGCGACAAACCTGTGACTTCCAGCAAGACAGTGTATTCTCTTCCAGCTGTGGAGGTCAGAAGTCACGGGGCCAAAATCAGAGTGTCCCTAGGGCTATGTTCCTTCTTTCTGGATTCTTCCTGCCGTCCCCCAAGTCACTAATCACAGACAAATATGATGCACTTATTCTATTAAATTCTTCAGCCAAAAGAAAGACAGAAACCCTCTTGGGGTTGAAATAACGAGAGCTGGCACCAATTTTTCAATCGCCCCTTGCGAGGTACTGGCTGAGCATCTCCCAAGGACTGTTTGACCCTGATCAGGAGTGAAATCCCAAGGAGCTGTGCAGATGAATGGAATCTCAGATCAAACATGTGGACTAGATTTGCTATCAGGACACCACCAACAAACACAGGGTACCAAAGTCAACAGAATCTTGTGACAGCAGGAGTTTGAGTTCAGATTTAAGGCTCAGCACCATGAACACCCTGACCTGTCTAAGAGCATTCCTGGCGGACTGGGTGTAATAGGAAATACTGATGCAATATTACATCCAGTGACCAGCTCTGAATTCTAGAAAAAGAACTGTTTAGCAATCCCTGCCTGCAATAACAAAGGGAGCCCTTTGGAAGGAACACCTTTCAGAAAAGACACTTCCGTCTCAGATTTTTGCCGGAGCACTTCAGAATTTCCATCACGAATCTGGGTGTGAGGGTTGTTGCAACAAGCTGTACGTCCTCCGAGCCTTTTGCTCTCTTTTCTGGAACCCTTTTTATGTCTAAAGTAAATAAAACCTTTGCCCTGTTATTTAGCAAAATATAGGTGCTAGGTAACATTTAGCAAAAAGTTGTAAGTGCTGGTCAGAGGGAGTCTTTCCCTGCAAGCCAGAATTCTGAGAACCACATGAAAGAAAGATCGTTGTGATCTCTGCTGCGCTGGGGGTTTCCTGCTCCCCTCCTGCTCTTCTGTAGAAGGCCCATCACTGGGGCCCCGTGATGGGGCCTTTTAGGCTTGAAATAATGAGACCTGGAGCCAGTTCTTCAATTGCCACTTGTGAGGTTCTGGGAGCCTGGTCTTTGGGAGGCAAGGGAAGGCTGTGGTAGCTGAGGTCTAAATAGGAAAACATCAGACCGTCCTACCACGTCCTCAACACAGAGCACCACAGCCACGGAAGGGGCATCGAGCACTGCCCACAGCCTTGTTTGCATGTGTGGAACTTTCCAGAAGCGCATCTTCCTGGTGGGTCCCTTTATTTCACGATCGTCCTCTCCCCAGCCGGTGATGAATCGCAGTTGGTGGGTTCTTCAATCACGGTTCCATCAGGAAACAGATGGCCAACTGAAAATAGGAGTGGTTTTTCACAGAAAGATTCTCTAACGGGGTCCAGGAAACCATAAAGATTCTTTAAAGGGGTACAGGGAACCATAAAGGAGAGTTTGAGTGCTGGTTTCTCTGTTAGTGACTGAGGAGGTGACACGAAACTGTGACCAGAACCTTTTCTACACATTAGAGAGCGTGGACAGGGCCGGCGTGGGAGGAGCAGGGGCTACCCCACGAGGGCACAGCACCTGAGGTGACCTTCTGTATCACCCTGACCTCCGATCTCCACCAAAGTCGCCCATTGGCCAAACCACAGCAAGGACTGAGACAACATGGGGATGCTGATGCATTCCACGCTGCTCAGCCTCAGAGACAGGGGGAGCCAATGAGCCTACTAGTGGGCAGAACCCACCCTAGATGACTGAGCCCACTGGGTCTTTAGGTTACATAGTCATTCAACAAACATGTGAGTTCCACTCTGAAGAGCACCATGAGGTGCTTATATTCTGCGGTCTTAGCATCTCCCACTGAGCGTGCCTGCACCCGGGCTTATGTGGAGCTCTTACTGCACATAGTGGGGGGCACCATCTCCATTTGGAAGGTGGGCTTTCGGGAGGAGACGGGCTTGCCCAGGCACACAGCTGGTGAGGAACAAGACTGAGCTCCAACCACACATCAGACCCCCTGCTCACCTCCTGTGTCCCCCTGGAGCAGCCCCTTCCCAAAAGGAAGTCTAACTGGGGAAGATCAGTCTGTTCGTGTTGACAAATCTCCTTCCAGAACTTTTGTGTCAGGAAGACTTGGAATCCAAGCCCTGGGAGGCCACCTCAGGTCAAAGACTGAAATAGCGTCATTGCTCTTCAGTGGGTGGGAATGAGGCCACGCAGGGCCAGGAAGTACAGATGCCCACATCACAGAGCGCTCCGGGGTCCAGGCCCAGAAAGGACCCCCTGCAGGGTTGGGGATTGGTTCTCGGTGGAGGGGCCCTGGGCTTGCGCCAGATGAAAGCACAGCGCGACAGATGTGCGAGGTGGGCCCCCGGGAGAGCAGTGCGGAGGTGGGGGTAGGCGCTGCGGTGGGGGCTGCAGGGTGCTGGCCCCGGGGCCTTCCATCCTGCACAGGCATCTGGCCTGATGGGGGCTCAGAGTCAGGACAGGACAGACGTACTTCCGAAGCCCCGTCAGGCTGATGGGCGTCACGGCCTGTGTGTGGTTCTCAGCGGGGTCCCTGGCGCACGGGCTCCATCATCACAGTGAAACTTGTCAGAAATGCAAGCCTGAGGGTCACCCCAGACCTAGAGTCAGGACTCGGGGGGTGGGGACAGCAACCTGTTGTCAGAAGCCCTGGGGGAGCGGGGGATTTAGAGGTACACTCCACATTGAGAACCACTGCTGTGGGGTCACTGATTCCATTAGAGGTAGGGGGTATCCAGGGGACCCTGACAACAGGGAACCCTAAGATGTGGCCAGTGGGTGCTGGGGAGGGGAAGGGAGATGACTCCTCTTGGAGAGGGGGCGTGCAGGACAGACACTGATCGATACGGGGCCGTGGGGACAGCGGGGAGCAGCACCCGGGGATGTTAAGACTCGAGATGAGGGTTTGGATCAGCTCTTGTCACAATTTAGGGGAGATGAGCAGGGGGGCCAGGCCTGGGGCAGTGGGAACAGGGGTACATCTGCTATCTAGAAGGAAGCAGGTGGCACTTGGCTCAAACCCTTTTTCTTCTCGCTCCCTAATCATGTTTCTAACAACAGGCCCTGCTGGGGCATGGGCTCTGGAAAGAGGTGGGTGGGGTGTGGGGATGGGGCGGTAGCATGTGATTCTGTGGTGGGGGGAGGCAAAAAGATACTGTTATTACTCTTTGGCAAATAAGGAGGTCAGAGGCAGCTTCCAGGAGGGAGGGGTGCATGAGGGGCACCTTCCTGGTGGAGGCGTCCTGGTCTGGTGTGCTGAGGACGCGGGGCGGGCTGGCAGCGGCTGGGGTGGCGGGAGCCCTCTGCGCACAGGGACAGAGCTGCAAGGCGGCGGGCCCAGGTCGCAGGACGGGCCACCCTCTGCGTCTTTGGTTTCCGAGGTCAGACAGTGGGGGCGGCTGCGGGTCTGGGTGGTGGCCTGTGGCGACGGGCAGCCTTTCAAGTGTTTTTAGGAGGAAGTGGCTTGGGCACCAGCCGGGAGTCTCGCTTGCGCGGTGCACAGGAGAATGACCCGAGGGACTCATTTAAAGAAAATACAGATGCAGCCCCACCCCGGCTAAGAGGGGCTGGCGCAGAGCGGGGCGCCGGCCAGGAACATGCAGGGCCTGGGCTGAGGCCGAGCAGGAGCCTTGCAAAGACTGGACTTTGACGCTGGCCTTTTGTTTTTCCTTTCAGGGATGTCCAAGTCGCAGGTGAGCGCCCTCCCTTCCTCTCCAGCGAGGACCTCGAAGAGGTTTTGCTCCTGAGTGTTCGTAGCTGTGCTCCCTTAGCTTCACTCACAGAGGGGGGTGCCTCGGACCTGGGGCGGGGGGTGCAGTGCCGAGTTTTGGGGGGACTTCTGCATATGTGTGGTCCTGCTCAGCCTAACACTGAAACTAGAGGCTTGAGTTCATGTCTCCATGTGGAAAGGGATGACATGAAAATGTAAACACCCTCAATGCTCTCCCCTCTGCCCCCGGGGCAGCGGCTCCCCGTTCCTAGATGCCCATGGGCCACCCTTCCTGCCAGCGGCTCTTGGCACATCTCAACCTGAGACTGTTTCTCTCTGGCAGACCTGCTTGGGCTACCCCCTGAGCATCTTCTTCATCGTCATCAATGAGTTCTGCGAAAGGTTTTCCTACTATGGCATGAAAGGTAACGAGCCCCACCCCCCCACCCCCTCCGTGGCCAGCTGCCCTGGCTCAACCCTGTCCTGATCTGCCCCCCTCTCTTCCACCTGCCCTCTGCGGAAAGCAATCCTGACGCTGTACTTCCGGTACTTCTTCCTGTGGACGGACAACCTGGGCACCGCCATCTACCACACCTTCGTCGCCCTGTGCTACCTGACGCCCATTCTCGGAGCCATCATTGCCGACTCGTGGCTGGGCAAGTTCAAGTGAGTGGTTGCAACTTTCTTGTTAGCAAGTGACAGAGGCGGGTCAAGCTGGTGGCGCGGGATGGCGGAGGGTGGGAGCAAGGACTCAAGGCTCAGTGAACTCTTGAGGAGAGTGTCAGCCCCGCTCCTGGCTCCTGCTCATCCCCGGATCTCAGTCGCGGCACCGGCCTGCCAGGTGGCAGTGGTGGATTGTTTTCCTCCTGCCAACACTTACCTTTGTCTCATCTTGAGATCGTAGCAGGGGCACGATCGACCAGTTAGGGGTTCCTCCTAGGAGTGTCGGTGAGTGTGGAGTTGAGGGCTGGGGGAACAAGCAAACCCCTAGTAGACGCCCCGCCTTGTCAGGAGCTGCTCACCTGGTCCTATGGGACGAGATCCCAGGGCATGCCCCGTAGGGGTTCTCAGGAAGTCCTAGGACTTAATGAGGGAGGGAGAAAAGTTTCTGCCAGGCCAAAGCAGGAATGGGCAGAAGCAGGAATAATCACTGACTGTCTCAAAAATATTCAACATGACACAAAAATAACCAGTGGGTCTGTTCCTGGGTCAGTGTAGTTACCAGGCACAAGATAAGGGTCTCTCACCGTTTAAAGGCATCGCACTAATTACAGTAGTTCCATAAAACATTGAGTCTTTCTATATAGGGGGCCCTTGAACAGCACGGGGTGGGATGAAAGCACTGAGCGCCATGGCGTCCAAATATCCCAGCACCCCTTTTAGACTCCCTTGCAACTTTTTTTAATTAAGATTTATTTATTTGTTTATTTATTTCTTTGTGCTGGGGTGTAAGCCGGAGGTGCGGAAGGGTGAGAGGATTCACCAGAGACATTGTGGGGAGCAGAACAGGCAGATTGATTGAAATACACTGCTGAGGGGAGCAGCGGGTGAGACAGGAGAGGTCTGCCGCGCCATGTGGCTGCAGTGGCTGCGGATAGCTTCATAGTGCTGACGCTTAACCCCTTGCACCACCAGGGAGGCACAGAACTTTTTTTTTAATATTCAAAAGGGCAGGTCTATTATAAAAAGGGAAGGGAGTCAAGGACGGTTGCACAGACACAAGCGGGCAGAAGGAGCTGCCCCTGAAAGGCTCAGGGTTGTTAGAAGAGAGACCTGCGTAGCCGCAGGTGGCAGCTCGGGAGGGAGCCGCCTCTGCTGCTTTGCAAAGGGAGCAGGCCGGGGAAGAGGCCACCTACACACCTGCAGCCACAGAGAGGCAGAAGGGCGGCTGTCGACCCCCCACAGTGTAACTGCTGCTGCTGACTGAAGCCTCGCCAGTAACAGAGTCAATTAGCACCTATTTTTTGTACGTTATATGTATTATATACTGTATTCTTACCATAAAGTCAGCTAGAGAAGAGAAAGCATCAAGAAAACCATAAGGGGGCCTCCCCGGTGGCACAGCTGTTGAGCTCTGGGTTGCGAAACTGCCCACAGCCTCTGCAGCACTGGTTCGATCCCCGGCTGCTCCCCGGCCACCAGAGGAGGGTCCCACATGGCGCGCAGACCTCTCCTGCCGCCCGCTGCTCCCCTCAGCAGTGTACTTCGTCAGTCTGCCTGCTCTGCTCTCCCCTCTGGCTCTGGTGAATTCTCTCACCCTCCCGCGCTTCTGACTATACCCAGTGCTTGTATAAATAAATAAATAAATCTTTAAAAAAGAAAAGAAAACCATAAGGAAGAGAACATACAATTGCAGCACTGGGCAGTATTTCCATTGCTGCTGTAAGTTTACGTTGTTTGTTGACAAGACGAATCTCCCAGCAGTACCTCTGTCAATACCACCTTATCTGCACTGTAGATGTGACGCGGGTTACCAACTCCAGACACCAGTGATGAAAAGATAACATGAGAAAGAGATTCATCGTCATTTACAGATGGAACAATTCATGTGTCCATAACAAAGAAGCAGCAAAATGAAGGTCAAATGAGTAGTTCAAAGTCAACTTTGTTCAAAGATAAAATGGGTCTTTTGCCTTGTCCCGGTACCTCCAGCGAAGACTGCTCTAACATGCCCACTAAGCCACACATTCTCCAGAACGTTGCCTTTTGAAGAGTTACCAGTTTTACTCGAGTTTGAGAAGCAAGTATCTTCATGGCTGGAAAGTTAGAGGCAGGGAACCTTTTTGTGGTGGGGTAGGGAGTGGACTGCCATTAGGCGATTAATCTGGATTCTCTGAACCCCTTTGAACACAGGACCATTGTGTCGCTCTCCATTGTCTACACGCTGGGACAGGTGGTGACGGCAGTCAGCTCAATTACTGAACTCACTGACACCAATAAGGATGGGAAGCCTGACAACCTGCCCGTGCACATGTGAGTTGGTGCTGACCGTTGACCTACCCTCGCCCCTCCCCACCCCGCTTGCTCTCATTTTTTATCTTTTCCCTCCAACTTCACCATAAACGCAAGGGGGCCTTTTCTCTCTCATCAGCAATACTGAGAAAGCTATTTGGTTGACTAAGAGTTGGGTCTTCGGCTTGTTACCAGTCTCGCCATTGTCCGGACTCAAGTCTATCTTGGGCGCATCTCACTTGAGTGCATGGGGTGTTTGGGTAGATTCAGCTTCCCTAGCGGGACACAACTTGCAGACCTTAGTCCTAATTGCACTGGTTTCCTCAAGACCCTGCACCTTGGAGGTCCTGTTTTGTACCTTTCTTTCACTTAATTTTCAGTCATTCAGTTTCATAGACATTTATTCCAGCCCTGTGTTCTGAGTTCTTGATGGAAAATCCTGTTGGCAAATCCTCCTTTGAGATTCATTTCCCTTCACTGCCATCTGCCCTAGTACACAGATTGTCAAGATTTACTTCCTGCCCTTGTGCAGGAAATCAATTGACCAATTAGTCAATTAGTCAGCCATCTTATGGACTGGGAAATAGAATTGAAATGCAAATTAATATGTGCAATCCCTGTATTTCTGGTTTGTTAGTCAGATTGCGTCCAGACTAGGTCCCTTGATGAGATCACACCTTGGTGCCCAAGGAGGCTGTCAGTGGGGGCAGGGGCCAGACACAGCCCAACAGCTCAGGTGGCGGCATCCGGGCCCAGGTCCCTCATAGCCTAGCTCTGTGACCCCGGGCAATTCATCTTCTCCACATCTCAGTGTGTTAGTCTATACTATTGATTAAGAACATGGACTTTAGAGCCAGGCAGTGTGTTAGAGCCAGGTGGTGTGGGTTCAAATGCTAACCCTCCTAGTTGTGTAATCTTGAGCAAGTTTCTTAACCTCTATGCCAAGTTTCCTCATGTTTACCAATATTACCTCATCTCAGACTGCTGGGCATTATTTGGGATAAAGCTCCTAGGACATTGTCTGGCAAGCGCTCGGCTAAGAGAGCTGAGATGTGGAATTCATTTCATGGAGTTCGTGCCAGAACAGTCCTGAAATTCTCACAAGAGCGCGTGGAATAGAATATTCAACTGGCCACATTTTTGTTGTGTTTTAAAATGCTTAGAGTGAAATCGCTAAACCCAAGTTGTGTTGAAGCGGAAAGTTGCTAAGGGCTGCTGAACAACTTGCCCACAATAACGGTCGAGGTTGCCATGACCCCTGCTCAGATAACATGGAAAGTTCCTGATAAACTCCCACATATCCCATGCTACCAGCTGTAGCTCAAGCATAGCAAGCTTCCTCATACACATTGTATAAACCCTTTCCATTCCTGCTAGTCAGGGCCCAGTCTTTTGGGAACAATCCCACTGAGCCTGCCAGTATGCCGAATCAATCTCTCTCTCCACCTCTCTGTGTGCCTTCTGGTTTCTCTGAAAAATTTCCCTAATTGTTGAGAGGCAAACAAAATGAAAGCAGCCAGTTAATCCAGAGCTGATTTTTAAAGAATTCTTTCTCTATGACTTTCTCTCTTTCATGAAATACTTTTACAGTATTTTTAAGTAACAATAGCAACCATAAAGATATGGAAAGAAATACATACACAACCTGAAATCTGGCATACCTATTACAAATCTAATGAAACTACAAAATGAGGGTTGGTACATCAAATGAGTAACTTCTTTCAGTTCAGCAGGTAATACACAAATAACTTGGAAATCACAAAACAAATACAAGTAAATAACCTTTATTTATTATTGTCGATAATTCCTGTAGTTATTGTTAAAGGTTATAATAAATCTTTTGCTGTACTTTTTTCTAGTCATCTGGACACTATAAACAAATTAACATCATGCTACATAACCGAATATTCTGCTTTGCAATTAAACAATGTTTTCCAATGTCTAGTAGTAGCCATGATGAGTCCACCATGAGGTGAAGCTTACACATTTCACGTAGCTATTCTAAACTCCAATCATAAATATTTTTCAGTATTCAAACTATTGCATTAATATTTTCTGGATATTAAATGATTAGATAAAGGTGTCAATTTAAGGGGCCATCAGTTCAAATGTCATTCAACTTGTGAAGACATATTCCTTAGAAAACCTTTTAACAGCAAACCGCTCGCGACAACAGCAAGAAAAGGAAAAAATAAAGTCAAAGATCGCTACCAAATAATAAGCGCCTTCAATATCTTTTCTAAAGCTGCAAATCTACATGACATCTAGGTGCAACAGGTGATGTGTAAATGCAATGGGCTGGATGAGCTCCTGGGCCGTGCACATTTCTTCCTTAAGATTTGAAGGCTATATACAAAGAAAACTATAAAACACTGTTAAAAGAAATAGAAGAAGACACAAAGAAATGGAGAGACATCCCCTGCTCATGGATTGGAAGAATAAACATTATTAAAATGGCCATCCTACCAAAAGCAATATACAGATTCAATGCTATTCCAATCAAAATTTCAATGTCATTCTTCAAAGAAATAGAACAATTATTGATGAAATTCATATGGAATCACCAAAAACCCCGAATAGCCAAAGCTCTCCTGAAAAAAAAAAAAAAAAAAAAGAAGGGAATGGAGGCATCAGACTCCCAGACTTCAAACTATACTGCAAAGCCATAATCATCAAAACTGCATGGTATTGGAACAAGAACAGACATACAGACCAATGGAATCGAATAGAAAATCCAGAAATAAACCCACAGATTTATGGTCAACTAATCTTTGACAAAGGAGCAAAGAATATGCATTGGAGCAAAGAAAGTTTGTTCAATAAATGGTGCTGGGAAAACTGGGTCGCTACATGCAAAAGAATGAAGCTTGACCACCACCTCACACCATACACAAAAATCAACTCAAAATGGATTAAAGAACTAGACATAAGACCTGAAACCATAAAATATATAGAAGGAAATATAGGCGAAACACTACGTGATTTGCACATCAAAGACATCTTTACAGACACATCACCCAAAGCAGTGATAGTGAAGGCAAAGATAAACAGCTGGGACTACATCAAATTAAAGAGCTTTTGCACAGCAAAAGAGACAATAACAAAAACAAAGAGAAACCCCACCAACTGGGAGAACATTTTTGCACCCAACACTAATGATAAAGGACTGATCACAAAAATCTGCAAAGAGCTGATGAGACTCAACAACAACAAAGAAAATAATCCAGTCAAAAAATGGGCAGAAGAGCTTAAAAGAAACTTCTCTGAAGAGGAAATGCAAATGGCCAACAGGCATATGAAAAAATGTTCAACATCACTTGTCATCAGGGAAATGCAAATCAAAACTACCATGAGATACCATCTTACACCAGTGAGAATGGCACATATTAAAAAAACTAGCAACAACAAATGTTGGCGAGGGTGTGGAGAAAAAGGAACTCTTCTGCACTGTTGGTGGGAGTGCAAACTGGTCCAACCACTGTGGAAAGCTGTATGGAGATTTCTGGACCTACTAAACATAGAGCTTCCATATGATCCAGCAATTCCACTCCTAGGTATTTACCCAAAGGACACAGAAACATCAATTCCAAAGAACACCTGCACCCCTATGTTTATAGCAGCACTGTTTACAATAGCTAAGCTTTGGAAACAACCCAAATGCCCAAAAATCGATGACTGGATCAAGAAGATGTGGTACATATATACCATGGAATATTACTCAGCATTCAAAAAAGATAAACACATGCAATTTGCAGCAACATGGATGGCGCTGGAAGGGATCATGCTCAGCGAAATAAGCCAAAAAGAAAAAGAAAAATACCGGATGGTCTCACTCATAGCAGGAATCTAGAAAACTTAAATAAGGGACCAGGAAAATGAATAACTATAAGAAAGTGAAAATCAAAATCAACAAAAAACTATGAACCAGAGACACTTTTAGGGGGCGGGGGTGGGAGGGGAGGGATTGGGGTCAGAATGGGGGGGGCTGCAATTGTATGGGGAATATAACAATAAAATTTATTTAAAAAAAAAATAAATTAATTAAACATAAAAAAAAAAAAAAGATTTGAAGGCTACCAGTGGAACAGTTGATGAAATTTGATTAAATAACAACAACAATAATTGAAGACTATACTCTTGTGAATTTTCTTCTCATACCACCCCTGGGCCTGGTGCCCTGAAGGAAATTAGGGGAAAGAGAGGCTCCTGCTTTTACTGGCTTGGGCAATAACCCCTTTTCTTTCCTAGAGTGCTGTCCATGATTGGCCTGGCCCTGATAGCGCTCGGAACTGGAGGAATAAAGCCCTGCGTGTCTGCATTCGGTGGAGACCAGTTTGAAGAGGGCCAGGTAATCCAGTCCCCCAGCTGGAGTCTGTTCTCCATTCTGTTCTTTCTTAAAAGTGCGCCAGGACTCAGGAGTAACGTCAGATGACCACTACATTCCATCAGTAGCTATAAAACCAGTGTCATCCTACTGAAACTTTATCCTTTTGATTACAGGAAAAACAAAGAAACAGATTTTTTTCCATCTTTTATTTGGCGATTAATGCCGGAAGTTTGCTCTCTACTATCATCACCCCTATGCTCAGAGGTAAACATATCTCATGGGATTTCAGGGGTTTTTTTGGTTTTTTTTTGTTTTTGCTTGTGGGAGATAGTCAGGTGGAAGCTTGTGTCCTTGTTTTGTTCATCTTGTCTAGTCTCCCTTTACACTTCAGTGAGCAGATGAACTCAGGAGCTCACCTTGAAGTCCAGAATATGAGTTTCTTTTTTATTTCCTTTCCTAATCATGCTTGAATCACTTATCCCAATGATTCCTCAAGGATCGGGAACACCCTTGGCATCACAGTTCAATTTCCTAAATTACTATTAATGCAAAGTCCTTGCTCCTTCTAAGAGAAAAGCCAGGAGAGGCTGTTTGGGACGCGCAGGCTGCTGGGCTGTCAATGACCTTCTCTTGTCAGGCTTTGCTGGCGGTGATGTGCAGGGCCTAGGAACAACTTAGTGGACAAGGTTTTCATCTTTGCTTTCCTGTCATCTCAGATATTTCTAGAAATGCCCCAGGAAAGTGAATGAGTCAGCAACTATCAATAGCGCCCCAATTTTTGTACTTTCTAAAGTACCATTTAGATTCCCATGTGGAAGAGAATATTTGGGAACAAATTAGACCATAACAAGATCATGGTGTCCACAATGAATCACATTAAAATACGAAATAAAATATTTTCTGGGGATTTATGTACTTCTTCAAAGGATATATATTTAAATATGACAGAACCCATTCCTGCTTGTTTTGTATAAAAATTTAGAAGCTTCTATTCTTGTAGATGCCTCTTCTCTTTGCATCCTTCCCCCTCCCTCCTGGTTCTACTAGAATATGTACTATGAATGTTTGAATTAGAGAACGTGTTAAAGGATTATTTTTAAAGGTAAAATCGTGATTCTCATACAAATATAAAATGAGCATATGTTAGGTTTTACCTAACATTGATTTATGAGGGACCTGAGAGGCCACTATAATCAGTTTATTTTTTTAAAGATTTATTTTATTTATTTTATGCTGGGGTGTAGGCCAGAGGTGCTGGGGGCGTGAGAGGATTCACCAGAGAGAGTGGGGAGCAGAACAGGCAGACTGACTGAAATACACTGCTGAGGGGAGCAGCAGGGAGACAGGAGAGGTCTGCTGTGCCATGTGGGTCAGCTCAAATGAGGATTTGACTGACAGAGATTTATATTCCTTGCAAGGAAAAAAATTATGTTGCATTGCCATGAACCATTTGTACAACTACTAGGAGAAAATATTTGCATGACTGTCCATTTTCTACCCAGTTCTTTATAGAATTATGCAATAACAAGTCAAAAACAAAAGTCAAATCTCCTTAAGGATCAGATTATTCTGGAGGCTCCAGCACTCCTTTGAAAGGACTTCTGGTAATCTCTGTTTCCCTTCCAAAGTCTTGCTTTTTCTCCTTATCAATCCTAGGATTCCAGAGCAAAAATAGGTGCTTACTCAGGAGTTACAAAACTGGCCCATTGGCCAAGTCCAGAAATCTGATCAAGACCATCCAACCTTCGGGGCCTCCCTGGTGGTGCAAGGGGTTAAGCACCACACTATGAAGCAATCTGCAGCCTCTGCAGCACGAGTTCGATCCCCAGCCAGCCAGGGAGCAACCCACATGGCGCAGCAGACCTCTCCTGTCTCCCCACTGCTCCCTTCAGCAGTGTATTTCTGTTATTCTGTCTGTTCTGTTCCCCACTCTGTCTCTGGTGAATCCTCTCACCCCCCAGACCTCTGGCCTGTGCCCCAGCTCTTGTATGCATAAATAAATAAATCTTAAAAAAAAAAAAGACCATCCAACCTTATAATGGTCCACAAAGTCTCAAATATTTACTTACTTACAAACTTTACAGAAAAATTTGTTAACTCCTGCCTTGGGTTATTTGTTTTCTTATTGGCATTAACAATCCTCATTTCACATGGCACTTCTGATTTCCTTTACTAATTTTCACTGTCTTCAAGTTAAGGTATCCAGGTCCCTTAGATCTCCCCCAGTAGGACAATCCACAGAACACCAGCACCCAATGGTTTTGGCCTGACCAATAGGAGACCCCTCCTCAGGGGCCAAAATTAGAGCCTGTCTCCACTGCCTGCTCTTACTACTGATGTCCTTGGCTCATTTGGCAAGGACATCAATAAGGCATATGGCTAAATCTAGAACATCAAGTAAAAACAGTTTGTAGTAACCAGTTAGGGATTTTTTTTATAAATGGGAACCATGCAAGTATTACTCATGCCCATAGTGAATTTTAATCTCCTAATTTCTCCCCAGTTCAAAAATGTGGAGGTCAAGAGTCTTGTTACCCACTGGCATTCGGGGTTCCTGCTGCTCTCATGGCTGTGGCTCTGCGTAAGTAACAAATCAGTTATCACAAGCCTGTAACAGTGAGGCCCTCACATTAACTATTGAGACCAATTTTCTTAAAACCATCTGAAAAATTGTAATAAATAGTATGCAAATTGCCATCCTGTATTAAATATGTTCTGAGGATTCAAAGAATGTAGAGATGATCTGTTGTTTCAGAGAGAATAGGGACAAAAAGAGGGTTTACTGGAATAGACATCAATTGAGCTCAAAGGTTGAACACTTAAAAGGTTGGTTCTGTTTAGCAGATGAAGATGAAGGTGATAGAATCTGCTAGACTAGATGAGCCCCTGGCGGACAGTGGACAGTGGACAGTGGACAGTGGACATCATTTTTATCAATATGTGCTCCTCTACAACTTGCCTGAAGCCATGGCAACCTGTCCAGTTGTCAGTACCCTACTGATCATCTACCTTTCTATAGTGTTATCATCTCAAAATGCTTCTACTAAAATGCCTTCCTGCTGGGAGGAATATTTGTGTATTACTTGCATTCATTTGCACTTCTGGGTATTGGCATTTTAGGAAGTATCTAGAGTTTACTACATGAGATAGTCTAACTTAAAAGATGGTAGGTATCCCAGTTTCCTGCCATCACAAAATACCACAGACTGAGTGGTTTATGCAGGAGAAATTTAGTTATTATCTCCCAGTTCTGGAGATCAGCACGTCAACAGGCCGTGGTCCTCTGAAGACACTGGGTAGGGTCACACTGGGTAGGTCCCTCCTACTTCCAGCAGCTCCCTGGCTAGGACAGCGGAACGCCAGTCTTCCCATGGCTTCCCCCAGTTGCACACCGGTGTCCAGATTGCCTCTTTTTATAAGGACACCAGTCATGTTGCAATAGGGCTGCCCTCATTACCTCATCTTAATTTGATCATTTGCAAAGACCCTATTACCAGTAAGGTCACATTCTGAGGGACTGAGATGAGGACTTTAACATCTTTAGTTGTGGGGTGAGGACACAATTCAGCCTCTCACTGTGGGCAAAGAACAGAGTCCAGCAACCATCTCATGTCTTCACAGCTCTTTCCCACTCGAGAGAGGTAGCAATCCGCCGGCTCTGGCACTTTCCCTGATGTTTTTCGCAGGTCTTGATGGCATCAAGTATGTCCCTTTTGAACCTCTTTTGCTCACGTTAAGCGATTTAGCTTTACCCTTAGAATTAAGCGAGAGCTCAGTGTTCTCCCCTTTTTATATGTCCATTTTCTTCCATAATTATTTAAATAGAGCCACGTCCCACAGAAATAGTGCCTTTTGTGCTCTAATTTTGGGCAAGAAGATAGAAAAGATTTCAAACCTATTGTTTTATATCAGAACTCTGGATTAGATTGATATTAGGTAAATTCTCATTTATTCTGTGTAAGTCACTCTGACATCAAAGAGTGTGTTTTTTTTCTTATGGAGGAATGGAGAAAAGGCCAAAATCGTATGCACCAGCACCACTTCTGGAAATTTTTATCTGCAACCATCTGAAGCTTGAATGAGTTAAGCAGGTGTCAGTTAAACAGGCTCTTAAAGAGTTAGCAAACAAATGTAGATACAATCTATTGGGTAAATCATCTTTGCCATCAAGTCTGCATTGAGGAAGGTTAACATCGAGAAAATAAAGCAAACGTCTTTCTTCTCCTCTGAAGAACAGCTGTAATACAGACACCTTCTGAAGGGTTGGCACCTGTCAAAAACTCAGACCCTCTTAAGCCAAGGGAAACAAGTAGAATCCAGTCAATCCAGTGTTTTTAAATTAATGGGCTGTGGTATTAGGTAAACATCCAAAAATAGGTAAATCCTCACATAGGGATTATGTTTTCAGAGTCTGTCGCAGAAATGCATTTTTTCTAAGTTACCTTCACAGAATGCCTTTCCTAAGAAGATTGATGGCAAAATTGCCTCAATGTAAAACTCCAGATGTCAATTATTATAACTATATTTCTATCCCATGATGACAAAATAAATTCATAAATATATTTATTTGTAAATAAATGTATACATAAATTTATAAATATATGTGTTTGTATATAAATTTCAAACATTCACTTATACATGTATTTACAATTAAGTTTATAAATGTTTGTTTATAGATATTTTAAATATTTATAATAAATTAATAAGTGTAAGTAAACATTTCAACAGATTAGTTGTTATTTTTTCTGACAATTTAGAAAAAAGAAGAAATTTCTCTTGTCATTGCAACCAGAAAATCAGAGTTGCACTTTTACTTTTGCAAAATATTACATTAATCAAATCGGTTATATGAACGCATGCACTCCTCTGGTCTCCCTTTAAAGAGGTATAGAGTCTGCACTTCTGGGGCTGTGCTGAGGGTCTTGTGGGCCGCCCTGAGTTTGGGGAAGCGCATACTATTGGGCTTCAGCCTTTGAACAAGAGGACACAGACATAACCTTACCCAGAAGCTCTTGCGACTTCCTAGACGGGGATGGGTGGGCAAACCCATCCCGTGAGTGGCCCAGGACTCCCCTAAGAGGGTGACAACTCAAGTGAAAGCGTACCTACTAGGTCCAGTTCTGCCAGCGCCGCGCTGACACCCGTTTTACTCTCTCCAGTTGTATTTGTCATGGGCAGCGGGATGTACAAGAAGCTCCAGCCCCAGGGGAACATCATGGCCAAAGTAGTCAAGTGCATTGGGGTGAGTATTGCAGTGGCTCGGTCTCAGCGACACGTAACCCCCTCGAACCTTCTATCTCCTCTACATTAAAATCAGTGAAGCTTTCACTTTCCTTTAAACACTGCACTCATGTGCTCATTGATTGCGTTGATTCTTGGTCTCACTTTCCCTTGGCCTGACTTTATTGCATTAAATTAGACAGGTGTAGTTTATTTCATGAAATAAACGTGTCCTCTGAGGATCACAAAATTTCTCTTCCTCTGCAGCTGTCCCGTTTTCCTCCTGAGCTTTCCTCTAACATCAGACAGATTCCCACTAAAACTTTTTTCCCAAGCTAAGAATTATCTTTCCAAGTTCTTCCTTCCCAAGTAATTGGCAACTTCATTCAAATTCCTGAAGAACAGCTTCAGGCTATTTACCGCCATGTGCAGCGTATTTCCCAGTGCCCTAAAGTCAGCCCACGGCTTTGAGTTACTGCTTTTTAGCCCCCTGCTTATCCTCGGTGATCATCCTCATCACCCCTCTTACTGCACTGATCATTGTAAATGCACTTTGCTTTTCCTAAAAAGCTCACTCACCAGGACTCTTAGAAGCCCCTAAAGTTACGAAGAGTGGGTCAGCGTATTTTTCTGGTTGATGTTATCACATCTATTCAACTGTAACTTTGATTTTCTTGTAAATGTATTTCTAAGCAGCTCGTGCTCACTGTCCCTGGTGCAGCAATAGTACTTGTATTTTACACCTGTCCTCGAGGGTCCCACTGGTCACAAGTGGCTCTTGAACATTTGAAATGTGGCAAGTGCAGTGGGGGAACAGAATTCCTAATTGAATTTCACTAAATTTTAATTATCTAATTTTTTATTTACATCTAGCCATGGAGTGAATTTTCCAACTGTTGCTCAGTTCAGTTTTTGAAGAACTTTTAAGTTGGTTTGGGAGAACTTACTAAATTTGGGTTTTTTTCAAGCATAAATTTTATGAAAATTAAATACAGATGAAATAGTCCTGAAAAAAATTAGCATCCAAATTGAGACATGTCATAAGTGTAAAATATACTCTGGATTTTGAAAAATTCTTACTAGTTTTTTAATGTTGGTTACACGTTAAGATCATTTATGATATATCTTAGGTTAAATAAAAAATGTTCTGAATGAATTTCACCTTTTTTGCTTTTACTTCTTAATACTTAGATTGCAAAGTTCTCCTTGCTAGAGGATGCGGAGTATAAGGTAGTAACAGTGGGACCCTGCTCACCCAGCTCAAACGCTCACCGTCAGAAAGAGATTAGGAGAAATCAGTGCCCAGTCGGCCTGCTAACATCATCACCACACTCGTACATACTGTCTTATATTTTGCTTCTCCCACAAGTCTAGTTTTCCAATGAAATGTGTTTTCAAGATAAAGCAGTGAGTTCTGTTTCAAAATTTGGTTTTTTCTTCCTTCCTTCAGTTTGCCATCAAAAATAGGTTCCGGCATCGGAGTAAACAATATCCCAAGAGGGAGCACTGGTTGGACTGGGCCAAGGAGAAATACGACGTAAGTGACCGCCGACCTCCACAGGCCGCTGACCTTCCTGGAGAGAGGGAACGTCTGGCCGCGACATCCCTAAGAATGTCCCTAAGACGTTCTTATTAGGCTACTCAGCCAGACTCTCACCTGTGTCCTCTAACTTCCATTAGCATTTTAAGTTACTTTCTGTCCGAATGTTTTCTATACCACGGATGTGATTTATCTAGAAGTAGTATTATCTTTTCTTGGTTTTTCTTTTTATATATATAATATTTTTTTAAAAGATTTATTTATTTATTATTGCAAGAACTGGGGAGCAGGCCAGAGGTGCAGGGGTGAGAGGATTCACCAGAGACAGAGTGGGGAGCAGAACAGGCAGACTGACTGAAATACACTGCTGAGGGGAGCAGCGGGTGAGACAGGAGAGGTCTGCTCACCATGTGGGTTGCTCTGAGGTCAGCGGGGATCGAACTGGCACTACAGAGACTGCGGACAGCTTCACAGTGTTGGCTCAACCGCCTGCGCCGCCAGGGAGGCCCCATTTTCTCTTGGTTTTTCATTTGGAATCACCTGCCATCGATTACATGTAGTTGTGATCACAGAACTAGTTTGAATAGAGGAGGTGGTGATAGTGGTGGGATTCACATGAAGTGGAATTACATTTAAGCTGGAGGCGTTTACCTCTAAAACTGATGATTTACTCATATTTTATTTATTTTTTTTAAAAGATTTATTTATTTAGGCATACAAGAACTGGGGTACAGGCCAGAGATGTGGGGAGTGAGAGGATCCACCAGAGACAGAGTGGGGAACAGAACAGGCAGACTGACCAAAATATACTGCTGAGGGGTACAGCGGGTGAGTCAGGAAAGGTCCGCCGCACCATGTGGATTGCTCCCTGGCCGGCTGGGGATCAAACTTGTGCTGCAGAGGCTGTGGATTGCTTCATAGTGTGGTGCTTAACCCCTTGCGCCTCCAGGGAGGCCCGATTTACTCATATTTTAAATAGTTCACAATTTAAGGGTTATCTAAAGAAACCAGTGGTGGGTGTTTGGGACATTCATCACCTCCCAGCTTGTCTCTAGATGCATATGGGTCTGCACTACTGCCTGACACTGCTGACCGCCATGCGTGACACGGCAGGGCTGAATTGTCTTCTCCCACCCCAACCATAGGCTCGGCTTATCGCCCAAATTAAGATGGTTACCAGGGTGCTGTTCCTGTACATTCCACTCCCGATGTTCTGGGCCTTATTTGATCAGCAGGTAAGGTCGAGCTTTGTGTCTGTTTGTCTTTAAACCCTGCTTAGCATTTCACTCCTAAAAATGTTCTTCCCAGTTTCATTTTTATAGTTCATTTATTTGATCATTGTTAGATCACTGTGTTCTTTTAACAATAAAAACCAAACTCTAGATGGTTCTCTCCACATTTCTGTAACAAAACAATGAAGTAGGGTCAAGGAAAGGAGGCTTGGGCAAGGTTCCATCCAAGTAGCCCGGACTCTTGCCAATGAAAACTAAGGAGGCAGAGGTCATTTTCCCACTGGCACGTCCTGGCAGATGGGTGTATGGTCCCCTATGGGGTCCACAACATTTCAATGAAGGGGACTCCACCTTCCACTCTGAACTGGAAGACGCTAGCAGCGCCAGCCAGGGATCTGAGTGACACTGCTAGAACCATGTTCCCCTGAGCAGGGATCCAGAGCCAGATCGTTGGCTTGAGGTCCATAGAGGCGTGCCCTGGAATTCTTAAAAATAAGGTTCAAAAGCTGAATGCTTAAGAGTCAGTAGCCAGAGATATTGTTTCTTTTGGAAACTGGAGTTTTAAGAAAAATGGACAAACACATGTGGTTTGATGGTGCAGGAGGGATTATTTTAAGAGTAAGCCATCTCTTGGGGTGAAATGAGCACACACATATCTCCTTATTTGTAAGTAAGGAATTTAAAGCGGCATGTTAAGGAGCAGGGAAGCAGTTTGGCGTGTTGGCTGGAAACTGGCTATTGGTATAGGATTATGCTGGAAATACAATCATCACCTTTTAGCTGGGTGGCCTGGTAGTCATCCCTTTACCCCTTGGAGAGTTATAAGCCAGATAAGTCTGTGAGGATGCAACCTCACAGAGACCGGTGACTGGCAGAGGTTAAGAACTTACTTGGCAGTGTATTTCGTGACTTTTACATCATCCCCCCATGGTGGTGATTGATCATGGTTAGTCCCCCAGGGAAATAATCATTCTCACCAGATCATCCTGAGTCATCTTTTGCTCTAAAATAGGTTGACCATAGCTGGGCTACCCTTTTTTTTTTAAAGATTTATTTATGCATATAAGAACTGGGGTACAGGCCAGAAGTGGAGGGTTGAGAGGATTCACCAGAGACAGAGTGGGGAACAGAACAGGCAGACTGACTGAAGTACACTGCTGAGGGGAGCAGCGGGCGAGTCAGGAGAGGTCTGCTGCACCATGTGGGTAGCTCCCTGGTCAGGGATCGAACTTGTGCTGCAGAGGCTGCGGACAGCTTCACAGTGCACCACCAGGGAGGCCCCCAATACCCTTTTAGTGGAATTCCATTTTAGGACAGATTGGGCTGTTGAAATGGCTCTTAACAATGTTAATGTTCTGGAAACTTTGATGCCAGAGAAAATAAAATATCTGTAGGAGTGAAGCTGCTTTCACCTTGCAGGTGATGTCAGTGCTTCTAGAAATGCTTTTTTTTTTTCTTTCCTGTATTTCATATGGATAACTTGATCTCAGAGAGGTAATTTGTAGTTTGTTTTCAAGGGGGTGTGGTATATTGGATTCATTTGTATGGCAGAAATGCAAGTGGCTTGGTTTAATCCAATATGATGGTGGAAATGGGAGGTTAAGCTGATGTTTACAAAATGCTTAAAGCCTGTGACAACTCAGAAGTCATTGCTGGTTTGGAAAAGGCTCAGCATTGACTTGTGACATGTTTGAAATCCATGTTCCCAAGTGATGCAGCCAACTTGTTTGTTTTTAAGGGCTCAAGGTGGACGCTGCAGGCAACTACTATGAACGGGAAAGTCGTAAGTTCGGGAATCCAGATATTTGGCCTTCCCTGGTCCCTCTATTTTAATCCTTCTGTGCCTTTTTGCCTTCCCTGTCATGACTCTCCCACCCCCAACCCCCATTTATCATCTATGGAAACATCAATGAGATTTTCCCCCTCTCTTTTTAGGGAAGTATTGAAATCCAGCCGGATCAAATGCAGGTAGGAGAAAATATTTAAGTAGCTCTCAGAGGTCAAGGTGGCCTTGAGACAGCCTTGACAGCACCTGCCATTTCTCTGCAGACTGCTAATGCCGTCCTGATTGTCATCTTGGTCCCCATTGTGGATGCTGTGGTGTACCCTCTGATCGCCAAATGCTTCAATTTTACGTAAGTGACGGTGGTTGGGGGTCAGGGTCAGACTTCGGGAGTCCTAGGGCTTTGCAGCTGCCCTCCCCTTTGTGTCTCTGTCCCCCTCCCCTCCATGCCTTCTCCCCGATGGAGTTTTTAAAAACAGGTATTTGAATTCCTTGTCTCTGTGCCCAGGTTTTCTGAAAATTTGACCTTGAAAATATTGTTATTATGGCAACTTGAAAAAGCCCCTAATGGAGGCGCTCTCATCGCTCTGATGATAGAAATGTTAACTCTAAACAACATTTTGCTCGAACCATAGTTTCTCGAAATTAAATGTAAAATTGCAAATGAGAAAGTGTCCCCTTTAACCTCCTCAGTCTGGGTCTGGAATAAGAGGAAAAATGGCTTTCTATCCATGTGTTGGGGAGCACCTGGTCTTGGGGATGGTGGGACTGGATGACCTCTGGGGAATCATCACCAGCTGGTTGGCTGGAGACTGGCTGACCCTCACGCTCTCTCTTGCTCCCTCAGCCCTTTGAGGAAGATGGTAGTGGGGATGTTCCTGGCGTCCATGGCTTTTGTGGCTACCACATTTGTGCAGATGGAAGTTGACGTGAGTGCCCTTCAAATTCCCCAGGGCCTTTTCCAGTGGCTCAGCCACAGTGTTCAGAAGCGCAGGACTGTAGGCGCGCAGGGAATACTGGGTCTTGGCCACTAGACTAAATCCTGGAGTTACGGGTGATGTGCTCCTGGGGCAAAGTAGTCCTCTCCAGCTGCCACTGCCAAGGCTGCAGAGGCTCGCCTGGGTGCACTCAGTTAGAGCAGAGCTCGATGCAGTTGACCTTCCATTGTAATACAGTGTTTATAAGGGACGGGAAGTTTCTGGAACGTGTTCCTTTTCTATCTCATAGGCAATCTGGTTCCAAAAGCTCACACTCACAGTAGGCAGTACTTCAAATATGTGTGAATGGTCTTTGGAAGGTGCCTTTGTGTTCTAATGTCTCGAGTGGTACTTAGTCCCCAAGTAACAGATTTGTTGGACCCACAGTGGGGTGAATAGATTCCTCAGGTCCCTACTCCTAGATCAGGCGCAAGACACAGGGAGCCACTCCCTCTTGCTCTCTCCTTCTCTGTCTCTCTGCCTTTCTTCCTTTCCCTCCTCCCTCTTCCTCTGTCAGCCTCTTCATGTCCCCCACCTCTCTCTCCCCTCCCCCTTCTGCCCCCCCATGTCACTTTCTCTGTTTCTGTCTCTCTTGCTCCCTCGCCTCTTAATTTCTTTTTTAAAATGTTTCACTGTGGCAGAATACACATAATATAAAATTTAACGTCTCAGCCACCTCTGAATGTGCAGTTCATGATGCTGAGTCTGTTCCCGTTGGTCTCCAGGAAGCTTTCATCTTGCAAAACTAAGCCCCACTCCCCCCATCCTTGCTGCCCAGATCCTGCAGCCACCCTTGTGCTTCCTGTAGCTGTAGACAGGGCTGCACTGGGCACCTCTGGTAGCTGGAATCAGACAATATTTCTTCTTTTGTGTCTGACCCCTTTCACTGAGCATCAGGCCTTACGTCCATCCATGTTGTGGCTGGCATTGAAGTCTCTTCCTTTGTAAAGATGAAGACTATTCCGGGGTGTGGACACCGTTTTGCTTACTCAATCATCGGCGGGTGGAGATTTGAGTGGTTCCACCTCTGGGTTGTTGTGAATAATGCTGCTGTGTGGTGGACCCACTATCTCTTGAATGCAGCTAGTTTTGTGGAGGGTGAGCTGTGGGGCTAAGAGAGAGATGGATTGTTTCAGTGAGACTGGGGTGTGAGAGCGGGCATCGTAAGGCAAAGGCAGACCCCCATGACGGGGTGGAGATGGGCGGGCATACAGCAATTGTGAAAGGATGATTCAAGCACTGTGTGCAGGCCTGAGCCCTGGGCTCTCCAAGTTCCATGGCACAGCATTGGGGGAGGGCAGCCCTCAGGAGGCAGCGGTTACTCTCACCCCCCCAGATATCAGGGTGTCAGATATTAGGATGTCAGAACCTGCCATCCTTTGGCCTGGAGCAGCTGCTTTCAGGTCACTTCCATGCTCTGTACAAACGTCATCTTCTACACCACGAGGTGGACCATCAGAAGTTCCGTGGTGCCTGTTTGGCGTGCACCCAGGGCTGGGGCTGGGGCAATGACTCCAGCACCATGTTGAAGAGTATTTTCAATATGTGCTAAAACCCTTACCACCAATTTCCTTTTATTTTGCTCAGAAAACCCTTCCAGTCTTCGCCAAACCAAACCAAGTCCAAATTAACGTGTTGAATGTAGGAAACTATCCAATGAACGTGTCTTTTCCTGACAAGTTAGTGACGGTTAACAGCAGTTTTCGAGTAAGTAGAAGGAAATGCAACTTCCTTTTTCATCTTCTGGCCTGAGTTGTAACAGGATTTGGAGAAACTGATCTTCCTGGTCCTTAGATCAGTCCCAGGATGAGCCCAACAGTGAAATGTCAGTGTCCTGACCTCTGTCTCTCGGCCTTCACTCTGGACCCATGTGCCTCCACCTCTCAGGCACACACGAATCACCTGGGGAGCTTGTAAAATGCAGATTCCTGATCAGTAGGTCTGAAATGTTGCCTTATTAGCAAGGCTGGTGCCGCCACTCACCTAGCTGTAGATAGTCAGGTTCTGGGTCTGTGGCTCTCCACCAGGGGCCACTTTGTGCCTCAGCGGACACTTGGCAACCTCTGGAGACAACTGGGAGTGTGCTGTTGGTGTCTTATTTAGAGGCCAGGAATGCCCCCACAACAGAGAATGATCTGGTCCAAATGTTAATAGCACCAAGATTGGAAACGCCAGTAGAATGGTCACTGGCCTGAGCCCTATTAGAATCACTCAGGGAGCTTTGAAAATTCTGGAACCTGGGTCCCCAAGCCAGATATTTCAGTGGAACTAGTCTCATTCCTAGCCAGGCATCACTGAGAACCACATCCTTATAGCTGGTCAGACACATACTCTGGGGCTGCCCACTGTAGATTTCCAGCAGGAATGCTGCTTGGCCCAGTGGTGAAATGATTTCCGTAACATCCATCTTCATCAAATGAAGCGCAAGTAAAATGCCATATGAGAAGCGCCTTTCCAAGGTGTCCTAAACAACTTTATCCACGGGGGACAAACTGAGACAAACCAATGCTAGGGCCCCTGAAGGCATTTTTTCATGTGAATGAATGGGAACTTGAAATTCAAATTGTAATCCATGAAATGTTCACTGACACAGTGCAGAACAAGACTCTGGCACTGACTATGACCTCTTTCCCTCGTTCTAGACACCTGATTATATGACTTTTGATGCAAACAAACTGACAGGTATAAGCATTTCTTCTGGTCAAACGCCAGCCACTCCAATCAATTACCAATTTGCAAATGGCCAACGCCATACTCTTCTACTCTGGAACACCAATAACTACCGAGTGGTAAGTAACCCGGATACCTATTATATTTGTGATGCTGGACCTTCTAGTGGTCTGACTTTTCTTTACTACTATGCAGTATTATATTAGAGAATCCTCAAAATTATTTCCTTCTGCAACTCAAGGACACAAGTCATTCGACTTCCAATAAAATTTGGTTGAAAGAGGGGACTTGTCATTTTAATTTAAAAAAATTTTAAAAGAACATCTGGGCATGGTGTGACCTGGGGGTGTGTGTGTGTGTGTGTGTGTGTGTGTGTGTACAGCTGTAGAAAGATACAGAAAGTAGACATGTATACTTTTAGGGACTTTTTGAGATAAAGCTTTAAATATATCTTTAATTGTATTCATTTAAAATTTTGAAATGAGTAATTAGAAAATTAGAGCAGTTCTAAAAATATATATAGTATATATCAGAGAAAAGCTATAAAAAGCATATTTTGTGACAAATATATAGGTATCTAGATATCATTCAGCCTGTAAAGATGCTGTGGAGTAAGTGAAGAGGTAGTTGGAAGTCTGCAAGTTGAATTTAAGTGAGCTTCTATACAACTACAATATAGAATGAAGACTTTGGGGTCCTGTGGGTAATCAGAGAGCTGTTGAGTAGCTTGTTCTAAGTTCTTTGAGATCAGTGCTCTGTGGAATCTCCGAGCAGCAAGTATAACCAGTGGTAGGAGTTCATTTTAACTTCAGTGACAATCAGGGCCAAAGAGTGATGCCCTTCGGATGCAGTCATCATGGTCCTCAGCGCCAGGATAAATACCAGCATCATTGTCCTTCGCAGAGTCGAAGTGTTCCTCTAAACATTTTAATCAATTAATTATTTTAATCAATTAGTCTTGAAAATGTTTTCTTTTCAAAGATAAATGATGGACTTAACAGCAAGCCACCAGATGGAAAAAATGGAATCAGGTATGTTTATTTTTTTAAAACTCAAGCTATAACCACTTCTTATAGAAGTAATTCATCCCCAGAGTAGAATCCAACTGTAACAAGGGAATAAAATGAGCATACAAGGTATAGTCCAAGAATGAAAGGTGATTCGATATTCAAAAATAACGAATCAATGTAAATCCATCATGTTGGTACACTTAAGAGGAAAATTCATAGCATCATCTCCTTAGATACACAAAAAGCATTCGATGTAAAATTCAGCATCTCCTCTTGATAAAAACGCTCAGCAAAGTAAAAATCTAAGGGAACTCCCTTACTCTGAAAAGAACATCTAAGAAAACCCAAATTGACATTATACTTGATGATGAAAATCTAAATGTGTTCCCCCTAAGATCAGGAGCAAGATAAGATTGTCCACTCTCTCTATGCTAGTCCATGTCCTTCTTGATGCAATGAAACAACAAAGAGAAGTAAAAGCACCTAGCTTGGAAGGGAAGAAATAAAACTACCCCACTCACAGATGACACAATTGTCTGCAGAGAAAGTTGCAAGAACTAGAACAAAAGAGCTCATGGAATCAATAAGTGAGTTTGGAAAGGTCGCAGGATAGAAAGCCAACAGTGTAACACCCACCCTATTTCTATCTACTAGCAGTGAATGATTGGAAACTGACATTTTAACACCACACCAGTTACTACAGCTCGAAAAAAGATGAAGTACTAGTTGTAAACATAATAAAATATATATGGGATTTGAAGGCCGCAGACTACAAAAGTCTTATGAAAGAAATCAATCAATCAAAAGCTAAGCAATGTAGAGACATGCTGTGTTCATTGATTGCAAGACTTAATGCCGTAAAGACGTGAATCTTCCCTAAAGTGATCGAGAAGTTTAGTGCGATTCCTATCAAAATTAAAAGCATAGGGCTCCTGGCATTGTATTGGATAAATCCTTCCCCGTGTGTTCTCATGAGTGGGTGATGGCGTCAGAGCCAGACTTGCTTACTCTGTGCCTTTGTGATGGAAAAAAATCTGTAAACATCTTCAGTTCCTTTTGAAAGGAGCCTGGCCCAAGTTCAGGTGCATGTGCTGTGGCTGAGAGCAAATCATCTTATCATCCAGTGACAAGACAGATGCTTTTCTGTTTCAGATTTGTAAATACTTTAGCTGAGACCTTGAATGTCACAGTGGATGGAGAAGTTTATGCTGATATCACCAGTTACAACTCTAGCGAATATAAATTTTTCCGTTCTGGTGTGTAAGTATCTCTACTAGCTACTGCTCCCGAGTGCAAGGATTTCAACTCTTTTTCTTTAAATGATAAATTGCAGCTTTTCCCCCCAAGAATGTTAACACATGTTATTCTTTCTTTTCATAGTAAAAACATCATAATAAACAAAGAGTTTCCACCACACTGCGATACTAGTTTCAAAACGGACAGCCTTCTATACGGTAGTGCATATACCTACGTCATCAGAAGTAAGGTTGGTGATTCATTCTGTGTCATTGTTGATGTGAAGTTCTACTCCCCAAATGCTGATATGCATCCTCCCCAAATGCTGATAGAGTCATGATTTAACTAGAGTAATATTAAGACCTGCATTTTAAACGGGCTTAGAATTCATCCAGTTCACCACTGATTCTTAAAGTTATCATTAACTTAAATTCACCAGTAGAATAAAATTAAACAGACTGGGGTGGCAACGCTGTAAGCAAATCTGACTTCCGCCTACTCTCTTATTTAAAAGGAAAATATGAATGGACATATTTCAAACCCCACCAAGAGCCGCCCATCGCCAACAGAAACGTGACATTGCATATTTGCGCTCCACGTGTGCTCTTGATGAATCACAGGATGTGGGCTTCCCTGGTGGCTCAGGGGTTAAAGTCTCAGCACTATCAAGCTATTGCAGCCACCTTGGCAAGAGTTCGATCCCTCACCAGAGAGGTGACCCACATGGTGCAGCAGACCTCTCCTGTCTCACCTGCTGCTCCCCTCGGCAGTGTATTTCAGTAGAGCTGCCTATTCTGCTCCCCACTCTGTCCCTGGTGAATCCTCTTACCCCCCATACCTCTGGCCTGTACCCCAGTTTTTGTATGCATAAATAAATCTTTTTTTAAAACAAGTCACAAGATGTGATCCTAGCAGTCCAAACTCAGCGTGCCTGACTAGAAGAGTCTCAATTTTCATTTCTTCTTCTCACACTGGCTTTATTGGTCTAGAGTGACAACTGCCCTGAGCTGCAAGTGCTAGAAGATATGAGCCCCAACAAAGTGAGCATATTTCTGCAAATCCCCCAGTATTTCCTCATGACCTGCGGCGAAGTGGTTTTCTCCGTCACCGGATTGGAGTTCTCATATTCTCAGGTTTCTTGTTTATTGCTTTTATCATCTCTCCTCTATTCCCCTGGCTTCAGAAAATGCTGCTGGGACTTCAGTTAAATAGGGGGTTAGCCATGTATTTAAAATTTTAAAAAATTCTAGAAAGCATTATGGTGTCAACCAGCAAGCAAGATTTCTGAGTCTTGTCCCGAGAACATTACTCTGTTTAGCTTGAGTCTGTGTCAGCTGTACATGGGAGAGTTAAAGTCCTGAGCAGGAAAAACTGTTGATGGCTGTTAATGAGGGAGGTGTGGTGAGTGGATTCTATATTCTGGAATAACCACATGGTGTGGGCTGTTCAGAACAGCGCTCCTTTCCAGCTCTGTGTCCTCATGATCACGAGGGCTCAGTTGAGGTCTCCCTGGAGCCCCCACTATTTTCTCAAATTAGGGTCCTCATATTCCCACAATGTCCAGGACCTCCAAGTTCTCCAGTGAAGCTTGTAACTGAGGGAGACCATCCCATTCAGAGCTGACCTCCCAGTCTCCTGAAGGACACAGCTATAATACAAGTGACAGAACTTTGAAGAGAGATTTTGGTCACAGAAGGTCACAGAAGAGCAAGCTTATAGCCAGAGAACAGCCTCCACTTGGGGGCCGGGGGGAGCATAGCCGGCTGGATTGCTTTGCTTGGAAGCTCTATTGGGAAAAATAGAATCAGTTCATCTGAAGATCTATTTCAAGGAGATAGTAACTTTACAAGTATGTGGAGAGTGTATGCTCGTCCCACACAAGACTTCGGGTGGCTGGGTAGCCCAGAGATTACCCTTCATACCTTTAATCCAGCCTGACCTGTAACGTGCATTTGCAGGTGGTCTGCTTAGTGAGCTGCCTTGTGAGTTGTGTCCTCCTGCCCCAAAGCTGAGCTCTAGATTGGGATTCTCTGTGTCTCTTGCTTCCTCAGGCTCCTTCCAACATGAAGTCAGTGCTTCAAGCAGGGTGGCTGTTGACCGTGGCCATCGGCAACATCATCGTGCTGATCGTGGCGGGAGCAGGCCAGTTCAGTGAACAGGTATGGATGAAAAGGAGGTTGCACAGCCCGTTGCTCATCCGGTTATCACCATGGTGACCCTCCCTAGCTGTCAGGGCCTGCATGGTCATCTCAACTGTTGGCCAGTCCTCGCAGATTGGGTAATTACCAAATGGTCTTAAGGCCAAGCACGTCCAGATTCTTATTGCAATTTGGTCTTATAGATGGAAATGGACAACCAAAATAACCAGATTTGGTGAGCATACTGACACCTTAATGTAGTTCACCATCAAAGAATAGAGCTCTGCTAGCTTCCATGAATGCAGCTTAATGGCCCCGAGATAGACATGTGATCCAGAAAGTTCCATGGTACCTATTCAAGCCATTCTAAAAGTGGTTGTCACCTTTCCAGCTAAAATAAAATGAGGGCGTTTATGAATCTGAAACTGTCTCCTTCAACTGACCAGCATATCCATCTCCCAAGGGAGTTGTCCCTCACCCCTTTGGTTTCATTACTTACCCCGCAAGGGGTCCAATTAGCCAGAGTGCTCATGGCCTCAATTTTGCTATAGGATAACATGTGAGTCTTAACTTCAAACCATCCAGCACATTCTTTTCCTTCAAGAGTATTTCCTGGTGTCCTCTTGGTCCCTATCCTTCCAGAGACCAGCTGCATGCTGGAACTTGGGTGTGAGGAATATTCTCTCTCTCATCTGCCCTAAATCTGACATTTCTGTATCCTCCTGCTACTAGAAAAATGTTCTTTTTGTACTTAAGCATTCAAGGAAAGTTGGCCATTCTGTGTGGGACAATGATTGGCCATTCTGTCCTAGCCCCAAATACCCACCAGTTTCCTATCCACACACCTTCCCTCAGAACAAAGCAAGAAAATGGACATGCAACACGTGCATTCTGATAACCTCTGCATTCTGGTTTTCTTTTCTTGCCCTGACTCTGGTTCCTTCCAAGTGGGCCGAGTACGTTCTGTTTGCTGCCTTGCTCCTGGTGGTCTGCGTGATATTCGCCATCATGGCTCGATACTACACTTACATCAACCCAGCAGAGATAGAAGCCCAGTTTGACGAGGAAGAAAAGAAGAAGCAGCAGGAAATGGTTGATCCACATGACATGGCGGGTGACGCCACGCCACAGGCACAGACACAGATGTGAATTCAGATGGCCAGTGGAGGACGGAGAGGCCCAGGCATGGCCTGACTTCTGCCCCGTGGTGGTAGGACTGGGCTGGATGGAAGACTTCAGAATGGTGACCCAAACCAAAACAGCTATTTTCGAAGTAGCCAGCAATGATCCTAAAACTCTAGAAGGCTTTTTGTCTTTTTAAAGAAAAATGTAATTTAAAGCACACACACTCAGACAACACTCACTGTGCACCTACACTTCACTCCTTTCCTACCACACAAATGAAGTTCTTTTTGATGAACGTAATTTTTTGCAAGTTCCATATGGTTTGCATCCTGGCACCACAGGAAAACAATGTTAAATGAGGCAGGAGCCGAGGTGGAAAGGGAATTGACAGGCTTTGCAATGGTGTCTATTAGGTGCCAGTTCCTATTAACTGACACTTAACTTTTTTGTTGTTTCTTTCAGTCCCTACCTCTTGTTAAATTGTGTCACTCAAAAAAACCCTCAGGTAAAAGGCCAGTAATGATCTTGGAAATCTTGATGGCATGAAATAAAGTCTTATTTAAAAAGTTAAATGTCAAAGTGTCTTTGGAGAGGGTAAGAAATCTTTAACACATTTCCTCATTATCAAAGCTATCCACGCTCATTAAAATTTCATCAGAATTTGATAGAAGTGTGAGTAAAAGCCATACCCACATACCATACCAAATATTAAGGTTTGTTTCCTCCTGGTCCTGTTTTCCCAGAGAGATGTTATATCTACTTTGGTCTTTTATGACTGGGATCTTTCCATGTGCTTTTTTTTTTTTTTTTTTTTTTTTTTTTTTTTTGTGGGACCCTCGCTGGTTGCCAGGGATCGAACTGGTGCTGCAGAGGCTGCAGGCAGCCTCGCAACCAGTGCTCAACCACTGCGCCACCAGGGGAGGCCCTGCAATTTTTTTTAATTTTTTTTTTTTTTTATACAAGCACTGGGTACAGAAGCACGGGAGGGTGAGATGATTCACCAGAGCCAGAGCGGGGAACAGAACAGGCAGACTGATGAAATACACTGCTGAGGGGAGCAGCGGGCGCAGCAGGGGAGGTCTGTCACGCCATGTGGGACCCTCGCCAGCGGTCAGGGATGGAACCGGCACTGCAGAGGCCGTGGGCAGCTTCATAGCCCAGCACTCAACCGCTGTACCACCAGGGAAGGCCCTCCATGTGCAATTTTATGGCCAAAGTGTTTTTCTCAATATTCATGAGCATTTTTCTGCCTAATAAAAATTCTCCCAAAACATCCCAATCATTCCATGCCTAATTCTATCCTACACACAGTTCTCATTCAACCATTCCAGGTAGCCCACCCAGAGTGAAGATTTGACTTTGGTATGCCTATAAAAACAGGCAACAGGTCTTAGATAAACTTGTGTGCAGCTCTGAATATTGAAACTGGCTCCTGGATGAAGAGGACCTGCCCATATTAGACTTCTAAGTGCTTTGTGGACTGGAGAATGCATGCATGCATGGATGGGTGCATGGATGGGTGGGTGCATGCATGGGTGGCTGCATGCATGGGTGGCTGCATGCATGGATGTGTGCCTGCATGGGTGGGTGCATGCATGGATGGATGGCTGTATGCATGCATGGGTGGCTGCATGGATCAAAGACCAGAGTGAGAAATACAAATGCAATGAGCACGCCTTGCTGATCACCTTTTCTACACTTAAAATTGAGTCTGCCTTCCTTCACTGGGGTCCAGGGAGCTCCTTTTTAATTAACTTGTCACATGTCTCTATAACTTTGGGGGCACATTTTCACTCCTATATGTGCACACGCTTCCCTCACCCTCCACCAAACCTCCCATTCCAATGCCCTATCCTCTCTCTCTCCCCCCCTTACCCACACCCCTCCCCAGTTTCTTTGGGTAACTGTCTTCTTTTCACAAAGTCTAACAATGGTGTTTGCTGTGCTTTGCCAGTATATGGTTTTTGTTCATTTATATTGCACAGATAAGTGAACCTGGGGGCTCTTTTTCTCTGGACATACCTCCTTTCTCTCTGCTCGCTCTAATCCAAACAGCATCACTGAATTTTTTCCAGCGCATCCACTCTGACTTGCCAGTCAAAGGCAAAAGAAAAGTCAGGTCCTGAGACTCCTATTTCCCTCCCCTTGACCAGGCCCTCCACCGTCTTTCTCCAAGCGTTTCCACCCCCACCTTGCCTCTGTCTCCAGAGGCTTGGCCATCACAGGTGGACAATGCCCTCCTGGCTCTCCCTCCCTCGGCCGAAAACTCTCTTGTGTGCCCGTCCTTCGCTCCCATTTAGCCTCTAAGTGCCAAATGAAACCTCAGTTGAGCAGGAGTGAGAGGCAAGAGGCAGACAACTGAACAATGATTTAAATGTGCTGGATTGGGCCTCCCCGGTGGCACAGCGGTTGAACGCTGGGTTGTGAAGCTGCCCACAGCCTCTAGAGCACTGGTTCGACCCCCGGCTGCTCCCTGGCCACCGGAGGAGGGTCCCACATGGCGCGCAGACCTCTCCTGCCGCCCGCTGCTCCCCTCAGCAGTGTCCTTCGGTCCTTCTGCCTGCTCTGCTCCCCGCTCTGGCTCTGGTGAATTCTCTCACCCTCCCGCGCTTCTGACTGTACCCAGTGCTTGTATAAATAAATAAAAATAAATCTTAAAAAAAAAATAAATGTGCTGGATTAACACCCCCAAGTATGAAAGACTAGCTCTGAGGGATTACTCGTTTGGCTTCTAAATTACCCACAGCTGGGAAAGCGGATGGAGAAACCAGGTAATCCCCCAAGCTCACCCCACAACCTGGCTCCTGAGCCTTGCACCTACCCCTGTGGCCCCACCTCTCTCCTACTGACAGTATGGGTTAATTCCGTTGAATCCTTGTAACACCACCAACGAAGGTTTTACTATCCCCATTGGAGAGATGAGAAAACTGAGGAATAACCAGCTGAAATAATTTTCCCATGACCATGTACCCAGCCATTGACTGTGGCAGGATTTGAACCCAAACTTTTGTGAGCAAGAGGAAGACCTGTGTGCTAACCACCAGGCTCCCCTGTCACCTGTCTCTGCTTTTAAAGTCACAACCCATGTATGTGCAGTACATGTTAAGGCCCAAGGCGGGCCCCCCTGGCGTAAGCATGCGTGCACCCGTGTGTGCACACACACAAGCCCCTCCTCCTCCAGAGAATTTCTGGAAGGGTTGAGACGAGAAACATAAGGGCTGTGAAGTTCAGGGAGGTACAGGATGTGTGGGCCGGGATCATGGCTCCTGTGCTCCAGCCTGTGATCAGCTTGGGCTGCTCCTCGTGGGCCTCGTGGGGCCTCCTGGCCCTCCGGCAGCGTAGCTTGTTGAGCCAAAGTAAGGCAAGATGGGCAGAGTGGCTACAGGTGGGAGAGGAGCCCGGGGGTTGGGGAGTGGGGCTGAAGGCTGCTGGATCTGGGGCCTGCTCTGGGGCAGGAAAGCTGGGCTTGGTGAGATCCCGTCTGGCTCTGATTCTGCCGGACTTGGCACCATACCTTGGGCAGCCACTGGAGGAGTCAAAGGTAACATTTTTAAACTTGAGGTCACACCTCCCCTGTGGGGCTGGGGGTGGGGCAGTGATAGAGAGGGGACTGTGCTCAAGCCCAGGCTGATTGCTGAGTCCCCACCCTGGCCAGGGGCTGCATTCCCAGTGGGGGGGCCCTGCGGACAGAGGGCCCAAGGGAGGGGCCGGCCAAGAGGGCCAGGGGTGGGTTTGAAGCAGGCAAGTCCCCGCTGGCTGCTGTCGGGGAGGGACCAGGTGTGCCTCTGGGAGAGGGGGTCTACCCTGAGGTGGCAGAGGGGGTGGTGGGGCCTTTTGATTCTGGAAACACTTTGGAAGCTATGGGAGTCAGCAGGATGGCTGAGGGGCTGGGTGTGGCGGAAGAAGGGTGCTGTTCCCCATTTGATCCTCTTTTTCCAAGAGCTTTGTAGGGTAAGGTAAAAAGTCTCAGGCTTCTCTGCCCTCCCGCCATCAGGATGGATGACGGAACCCTGCGGGCCTGAGTGCAGGCCTGATGGCGGCACCTGGAGTGGGGTGTGGGCATGCACAAGTGGGTACACCTGGGCTGAGACTGGGCTTATGAGGGCAGCGTCACGGGGACGCCAGCAGGGAGAGCAGAACCACGAGAAGAGCAAACGGTAGGAGGAGAGCAGAGCAGCGGAGACCACCGGAGAAGGCCGGAGAGCCCAGACGGAGTGAAGACTTGCTGGGGGCTGGGAGGCCTGCCAGCCTCCCGCCCCCCTGGCACCCCGGCCTGCCGTGTACCTGGTAAACACGCAGTAAAAGCCTGAAAAGCCGCCGAGGGCTCCAGGGCTCCTCCTTCACCCCCATCTGCTAGGGTCCTAGAGACCCTGCCCTGGGGCCTTCCTGCCGCTACAGCTCCAGTGCGTTATCCCTTGAACCCCCTGGAGAGCCCCACGGGCAAGGGTAACCAGCTCCCGGGGCTGCAGAGGAGGAAACTGAGGCTGCTGCACCTGAGGAACTTGCACCTGCGTCCCCACACCTAGCGAGAGGCAAAGCCCAGCTTGAAGGCGGCTTTCCTGGGGCTCTGCGCGCTCACGCCGGGGTGCCCACACCCAGGGAGAACGGGGGCCTAGTTTGCTCCCGACAGAAGGAAATGGCTGCGACAGTGCAGGGAAGGGCAGACCCGACTCAGCGGCTGCCCGGTGTCACCTGCACCGCTGCAAGACAGCGCTGGCAGGAGTCAAGCTCTCGTGCCTTCCTGAGGAGCCCCGAGCCGGGCAGCACCCGGGGGAGACCTCGGGGCTCAGAACACGCGGCGCAGCTGTGGACGGGGGGTGGGGGGGCAGGGTTAGAGGCCGGGCAGGAGGGCAGCAGGGGCAGAAGGGCCTCCCCTGCTGACCAGGAGCGGCCTGCGCGCTGGGCCTGGAGGACACGTGGGGACGGCTCGAAACTGCCCTGAGATTAGGAACTAAACGGGGGGGTGGGGGGGGCATGAACGACCCCACAATGGACCTGCTCTTTCTACTTTCAACACCCATGTGGCTTCTCCACCGGAAGCTTTGCTGTGTTGTGAGGCGAGGTCCAGAGAAAACGAGCAAAGAGGAAGCACAGCTGGGACTTGGGAAACCCAAGCTCCCTCCGCCCTCTTGGTTGCCGGCTGGGCACAGGCGTCCAGTCCCTGAAAGGCCTCAGGGTTCTCAGGGTTTAACTGCAGAAAAGGACAGGGCTCCGGCTCATTCTTGGTCACCCTCCCACCCCCTCCATGTCCCCCCCCAACAGCAAGAAGCCCAACATCTGGAAGCCAGGAAGAGGCCTCACCTGACAGCAACCCTGCAGCCTCTGGGCCTGGACCTCCAGCCTCCAGAACTGTGAGCAATGAGCCCCTCTGGGGGCTGGGGCTGGGCTCCCCAGCTGAGGACGACGCAGGGACCCGCTGTCCCCGCCGTCAGGGGGGAGGGTTCTGAGGGGCTCGGGTTCTGGCCGCCTGGGCTTACAAGCCGGTGGGTGAAGCTTGTGGCCCCGGCGCGCATTAAGTGGCCCCAAAATGCTGGTGCTCGTTACTGC